AGTAATAGTAATATCGTGAACTTTAAAAGTAAACACGATAACGCTTTACGTACGACAAGTGTAAAAGTGTTATTATTCTATTCAATGCTTGAACCGAATTTCTAAACAAGTGTTTCTCTTGCTGATCTTTTGAGATCATGAATTGCTCAGCAAATATATGTGTAATACACTTTCGTTATCAATCTTTTAGGTTTCAAGAGTTGACTCGTAAGGATTACATTTATTTTTACGAGTTTGACTACGGATTGATATCAGTTGGAGAACTGTCGAAAACTAGGGAATACTGGATGGCTGCTTCATCCTTATTTGAGAAGCATCGGCAGTTTGGACCTATTGGTGCAGACACTCTACATTCCTAAATTGTTAGAATGACGAAATATTTTGCTTAAGTTTGCAATGTCGTCATAGGCAACATTAGGCAACTCTTTAGACTCATCAGGGAAACGGGTAGTAGAAGGCAAATCATAAGTGAAACAATCTCGGAGAAAAATGGCACTATAATTAGCTCCCAGGATAGACGACTGGAACGCTGGAAAGAGCACTGTGAGGAGCAGTTTAATTGGCCCACAACCATGCTCAGTCTGCCGAACACCCAACACCTCCCTGAATGGGATATAAACACAGGTCCTCCGTCCATAACCCTAACTGAGGTTACGAAAGCTGTCACCAATCTGAAACAAGGCAAAGCAGCGGGACCTGATGGAATGACTCCAGAGTTATTTAAGTACGGTGGAGACAGTTTACAGTCTGCATTAACTGAGGTACTAGGCAGCATCTGGGAATCAGAGGAAGTCCCATCGGGCTGGTGTAAGTCACTGATTATCCCCAATTACGAGAAGAGAGACAAGTCTTTCTGTGATAATCACAGAGGGATTAGCTTGACTAATATAGTATCTAAAGTCCTAAGCCCAATAATCATGCGTAGACTAAGTGGTACTCGGGAGAAACAAACACGAGAAAACCAGGCAGGCTTTAGACCAGGTAGAGGGTGTATTGATCATATCTTCACCCTTCGACAGTTTTTGGAACGCAGGTTCCATACTTATCGGCGTCCAACAATCATTATATTTCTCGACCTAACGGCGGAATTCGATTCTGTCGACCGAGAGGTTCTCTGGCGATGCTTGGCTGTTAAGGGAATTCCGAGAAAATACATTGCACTGATTAAGGCACTCACTCTACTCGAACTCATGCAGTCAGATAGGTTTGGGGTTACGGCGAGTTGTCATCTGAACTGGTGACGACTAGTGGTGTCCGTCAAGAATGCCCATTATCCCCTTTTCTATTCAACTTCATCAAAGATGTACTAATGGACTTAACCCTAACTCAATTCAGTGACTCAGGAGTTGACTTGCTACCAGGGAATAATGTCGTTGACTTAGAATATGCAGACGATATAGTCCTTCTGGGCGAGGACGCTGACAAAATGCAGAGTCTTCTGAACACCTTGAGCTGCAATCTACGAATGTTTGGCATGCGATTCGCTCCCGCCAAATGCAAGATGATGTTACAGGACTGGACTACATCGACGCCTAGTTTAAAAATGGGAAGTGAAGTGGTAGAGCACGTTGACCGCTTCACTTATTTGGGAAGTACCATCAGCCAACGCCAACGGGTTGATCTCTGACGAAATCTCAGCACCGATACAGGGGGCTAGTTTTGCATATGCCAGTTTACGCCGTCTCTGGCATAGACGAGATATCCGGCTGGCTATCGACCAAAGGGCGTGTGTACTGCTCATCAGTCCGCTCCGTCCTCCTTGACGGCTGTGAAACCTGGCCACTGAGAGTAGAAGACATGAAAAGACTAGCCGTCTTTGATCATAGGTGCCTCCGTTCTATCTCTTGTGTGAAGTGGTAAAATAAGGTGAGCAATATTGAGGTTAGGCTTCGGTCGAGTGCTAGATAAGGAGGGGAAATCAATCGACGAGGCTGTGAAATTACATCGACTGAGATGGTTAGGACATTTGTTACGTATGCCTAGTCATCGCCTTCCTCGACGGGCAATGTTAGCTGACATAGGGTCAGGCTGGAAAAGAGCTAGCGGAGGTCAAACCAAAACATGCCACCAGTCAATGAAATCCAGAACAGTTAGTTTAAGCTAGCCACGTAGGAAGGTGTAGACTTCCTGGTTGGGGTCCTCAGGGCGGTAAAAACCAATGGTTGGAAACAATTGGTGACATGGCTCAAAATCGTTCTCAATGGCTGACGCAGATGCATCCACTCCCTGTGATTATGATTTCCAATGAAACTGCTTCGTTCTTCGTTACTACTATTCCTTTGTCTCACACCTCCGTTTACTGTCTCTATTATGCATTTCTTCTACTTTCTTCTCTTGCTTTGTGTGCTACATGGAGTGTAGCGACCTGAACTGCCGCACATCGGTGCAAAGTTCTATGTCGAAAACAGACAGACAAAATGTCGTCACTATTTGTAAGTGGCATATGATAAAAAACCATAAGAAGTAACATATACCCGACCTTATCGAAAGAAAGATGAACCTTATGATTAGAAGTGAAATATTTTATGCAAGGTATATGGTGACCTATACACTACATCTGATGTAGTGGAACCTCCCAACTCTATACTTCGCAATAGAAAGTTTACACAGTATGAGCGTAGTGGTTTTATTCTCCAAAATTTGAAATTACATTGAATGTAAGTGACAAGACATTGAAGTATACATATATATCGTAAAAATAGTCGGGCGGAGTTTTTTTTAACTTAGAAAACTTTTTCTATGCAATTTAAAGTCGTTATTTATCGTAAACAATGCTCCGTGTGATAATGCCAACTTTTAACAGCACGCTTTTTAATGAACAGTTTGCAGTTCTTTTGTGAAATACGCTTCTTCTGAATAAATGAAATGTGTGCTCATTAGCTCAGCGGTTGACATTTGACATAATAATGAATCCATATCAACTCTTCGATTTCCTACCAAGCAATAAATTAAGGAAATATAAATATAATTATAGGAAAGTTGAATTTTTCTAAGTTGGAGAGCTTCCTTGAATAGTAAGTGAAAACCATCAAACATTTAATGGTGTGTCAAATCATGTCATAATACTCCGGATGTAACATACTCTTTAATGGATGGGACTGTTAAGAAAACTATTGAATTCCATTGTCACTCTGATGCTAGCGTTACATATGATACCACATGCATGCGCTACGAAGACCATTTCAAAGTTGATTCTGTGGGCCAAGGTGGTTTTTGGAAAGTACATAAAAAACTAGGTCCATCTGCATTTGATTGATATTGTAATATGATTCCGTCGCAAAACCCAGGCGACCGCACCTTCGATACTTAGACAACACTTCAGTGACCACTCATCCCTCTTTAATTTTCTATATAGCTGTTTGAAGATAATCATGAATGAAGGTGATGATTTCCTCAAGTACGCTGATATCGTAAACCATGAATGGGAACGATTCAAACTAAAGTCTTTGACGGATAGTCAGTTCAAATCAGCGATAATGAAGTCAAATAAGTTCGCTGACATAAGAATAAAATTGCTAAAACACTTAGAACATGATCCTGCAGTAACACTAATTGATAATTCTGATGAATATCAGCGACTGACGAACATTCAGCGGTTTTATTTCAGCTCAGATGCCAGAGCGATCCTGAACTACGTGCACTTTGCCAAACATTTCACATGTTGACTTTGCCTTCTTTCGCCACTCCATTATCCCAGCTACGAACACGACATCAACCAAAGATCCAAGAAGACTGGTCCACCATCCTGCTAACATTGTAATGCTCGGGATTTCGTCACATCGGTGTCGAGACTATAATACTATTGGTCACAAAGACGATTTTTGCCAGTAACACTCACAATGGTCTTCTCTCACATATCGCAGTAGAACCTATTCTCGAAAGCTTATGACGTCTGCTAAAGTTCTATTAGTGTCCACGAGAATATAAAACAGTGAGACTAAAGGTATACATAGCATTAGATATCACCATTATCTTCAGATAGCTATGGTCCAAAATCGGACGAGACCCTGACCAGAAGACTTTGCAAGCTGCTACCAGTACATGCCGTTAATAACGAGCAGCTAACATCTGTTCAACACTTTCTTTTCGCAATACTACTACAAAAGCAACTTGTTATCTCAGCGATATGAAACTAATTCCTGTAGTTATTGTTTGGTTCAAGAACCTTTAATCATCTGAGTTGCCACTAACTACCGTGTAATTAAATCCAGACTCATGTATGTTTGCTGACATTAGTCATTTTCCAAATGTTTCCAATCCTGATCTTAGTTGTACCACAGCTTTTTTACATCTTTAAGAAACTGCATGCGATTTTCGACTAGAAGGATTAGTGCTACATGCTCCAATTAACAAAAACCGATGAGATTGCATGTACTGGACAATGTGTTATCACACAAAGATCGTACTCTACATACGTATTTCCAATGATGCTCATTATGGAAAGAGACGGTTCTCTCCGAATGTGTGGAGATTTCACAAATGGACTTAATGCAGCTCTCAAAAATTACATACTCTCAGAGCCGCATGACCTCTCCATTGTTTGCAATGTGGAACTCATTTCCCTAAAGTCAATTTATTTGACGCCCATTTACAGAAGTTGCTGAAGAATAGAGACAACTGCTGATGATTAATGAACACTACGGATTACACCAAAGGAACTTCGCATTTCAACTATAAGAAATCACCGTTTTCTTTATATTACTAACTGTGTGACATCGGGGATTCACATTAAAATGTTTTGAAGATTTATGCATCTGAGATGAATCTGCTGAAGTGTACTACTGGCACCTACCTCAGTGGTAATTCATTAGAAAGTCAAGGAATTGTTAATGAACACTCTAAAATCCGCGAAAAGACGGCTCGCCGAAATTGTCAAAACATTTAGGTGATTGTTGCTTCGACGAAGTTAATACTATTGCATGATAATGATTCGTTAAGTTGAAATAACAATTTTATCGATTTCAATTCCGTGTATCTTAAGTGCATTCAAAAAGACTAAGTAAGCAAAGAAATATATTCTTAGAATATAAAAACATCATGCTTCTAACTCCATAAACGCAAATAAGGTACAGATTCAACTTATTCAACAATTAAACAATTTTGTAATGATAGGTTACTAGATGACATTGCATTGAACCGGCAAGTATAAACACTTCCAAAACACACAGAAGTAGAAAGTATAATTAATCAAACTGAGCAAACTAGATGAAAACACAAACAATTATCTGTACATAAAAAGCGAAAATAAGTTTGATAAAATCCTTTAGGGTCTAGCATGTCTCAGACGTGAGTTCTTCGAAGAATTTTCAACTCTTGAAATATTATCTTCCACCGATTGATCAGCTGAAGTTCTGCTCAAGCGGGAAAGTTCCGCATTTAGACGAGCATTAATTGCTGCCTGTTCTACATTACGCCTGATTTCTTCATCATCTTCGATTTCTTTATCCTCATTCTTCTCCTCCACTTCATCATCATCATCATCATCGTTATGTAAATTTTCTTTCGCTAACTTCACAGCCAAAAATTCATTATAATGTTGCTTCCGCTTTTCACGAAATTTTCTCTGATGCTCTTCTTCTTCATTACCGAGTACGGTTGTACGTGGCTAAATCGTTTAAATTAAAAGTGATGAACAAAATAAATATGCATATGGTTACTAATGATATATTTGTTTCGTTCAGTTTATGGGTTCCTCATAATCCAGTCAAATGATTATACATATGTTAAATCGTAGCAATATAAGCCGGCTAACATGCATACAATATTAACTGACTGACTGGTTTTCACACAAAACTCTGCACAGATGTGTAGCAGTTCGATTTACCAAGAGAAGGGAGTAAAGGGAGGTTCGATAGACAGATAATTAACAAATGTGTGAGGCCAAAAAAATAGTAGTACGGAAAAGCAATAGTTTTTTATGTAATAAATCAAAAAGAAAGAACCGTATGCCAAACATTCGAAGATTGCAAGTGCTCAAAGTGTTCAGAAGACTGCACTTTATCACTGTCTTCACCTAGGAGGCAGGACTTTGTCATCTGAATATTTGAAGTCAACAAGATTATCCCCCAGTAACAAGTCAGTCCTTGAGTTACTGAAGTCAGTCCATCAATACATTTATGATGAAGTTAAACAGACAGTGGGAAACCATGTTGGACACCACCGGTTGTCACCACTTCAGATGACAACCCTCCGTAGGCTCTTAACTGACTGGCTGCATGAGCTCAAGTAGAGCGAGCCCTTTGATCAGTGCGATGTATTTCCTAGGCATTTCCTTCACATCCCAACATCTTTATAGCACCTCTCGGTCGACGGAATCGAATGCCACTTTCAGATCAAGATATATGACGGTTGTTGAACGCCGGTAAGTATGCCACCTGAGTCCCAGAATCTGTCGAAGGGTGAAGATGTGATCAATACACTCTCTTCCTGGTCTAAAGCCTGCCTGGTTCTCTCGTGTTTGTTTCTCCCGAGCACCGCTTAGTCTACGCATGATTATTGGGCCTAGAACTTTAGATACCGTATTGGTCAAACTAATCCCCCTGTGATTATCACAGGAAAACTTATCTCCCTTCTTGTATTTCGGGATACTCAATGACCTACACTAGCCCAACGGGACTAACGATTCCCAGGCGTTACCAAACACCTTAGCTGACGCAGACAGTTAATTGTCTCTGTCGTTCTTAAACACTTCTGGAGTCATTCCATCAGGTCCCACAGCATTTCCTCGTTTCAGATTAGTGATAGCTTTCGTAACCTCAGTTAGGGTTATGGACGGAGGACCGGTGTTTATATCATTCATTCAGGGAGGTGTCGGATGCTCGGTAAGTTGAGTGTGACTGTAGGCCAGTTGAGTTGCTCCTCGAAGTGTTCTTTCCAACGTTCCAATCATCTATCTTAAGAGCTATTTACGGTACCATTTTTTCTCCGAGATTGTTTCACTTATCATTTGCCTTTTGCCACCTGTTTCTCTAATAAGTTTAAATAGTTGTCTGGTGTTACCTATCGCCGATGCCTTTTCCACATCTTTCACTTTTGTTACCTACTACTTTTCAGGATCGTTGAGAAGACATCTTGTCAGTTTGCGTTTAATCAACCTCATCATATCCGGAGCTCACCGGATTCAGTCTTATTGAGTTAATCAGTTCGGATGAAACAGTAAAATCCACTCGCTTTTACTAACTTTTGGTTTTATGTTATTAACAACTTCTGCAGCTGTGTCTACAGCTAACTGCCTATTGTTTATAATACATTCAACTACTTATTAAATTTGAGGTGTTCAAGGTAAGTACCGACACCAGATATTGTGGTTACTTATTAAATGCTTCTCATTACAAGACAAGATATATTTGCGTGAACTTTCTAAAACTAAATTACATAAAATAAAGCAGTGTTAAAACCAACAAATAGTCTTACGTAATCAACAGTGCCGACTAACTAACTAAACAGTTGTCTGGAGACAAGTGCTCAGGAACAAGAGCACATAGAGTTGAAAGTGGGTTGCGAAAAATTACTCAATTTATTATGCGACAAACTAAGCATATTCCTAAACGGTTCCAGAAACAAACAGAATATTCAGAACCCATTAATGGTGAGAACAGGAGACCTAGCTCTTCTATTGCCAAACATATTATAGAGACAGGACATAAAATTGACGTTAACACATCTTTTAAACCTATCTATAAAACGTAATTGAGGCGTATCTAAAAGTCTGTGGAAGCTCTAGCAATCAGAAAGTTTAGACCACCTTTATGCGTTCAAAGACAATTCGTCATCACACTAAAATTTCCCTGGTAAACTTTCTTTTGATACCATAGCAGATGGACTATTACTTCTGTTTTTTGGTTTAGTGTTTTTCATTGTTATTTTGACCTTCAATATGTTCTTCTAACTCGACCTAAGTCTATTTGCTCACCTCTTAACTAATTTCACACATATTCCTATGACAAGTCCGTGCATGATCAGATTGTTCGAAATGTGTTGTGCAAATACATTACATGATTCAGACAAATTAGTCTTCTTATTACTTTATCTAAACTAAGCATAATAAAATCGGGCTTAAGGCCATGGCAGCAAAAAGGACCAAATAAAACGTTTCTGTACACAAGTTTTAAAATCATATATTGTGTTGCTATTACGTGCATATAGCAGCGAAACACAGAGTGACCGGATACTCGCTACTTTGGAGACTTCTTTTTCAAAAGCTCAAATTACAAGTGAGTACAGGGAAGGATTGTAGGCCTGAATTTTCATAGCACGAATGCCAAAGGTTACATATATCATTGTGGCTTTCGACATACGATTTACTACAGCACTAGTAAAACTAAATATGTGAACTTCAGAATACTCTTGAAGGTTAAATTAAAACAACGAACGCAGACACGAGATCCTATACATCTTGTAAAAGTATTTACAAGTTAACGATGCGAAAGACATACGCCAAATGACTAAGTGATTACGATAACATGTATTGGCTCACAGTCAGACATTGTTTACATAGTCTAGTTAGAATTTGGGGGGGAGGGGATGGCAGATCCGTACTACAACTTAATAGTTTTTAGAGCTGCAACCGAAATGCCGTTGCCGGAACTCACATTATCTGAAATCCTTTTAGTAGAAGATTTATGTTATTGTTCAGAGACAATACTGACTCATGTAAAGAGATATCAGTACAACGATTTCGTGAACCTAATTCCATAACTTGACATTTCAGCAACTAAAACTTGATAAATGAATCGACTGAACAAACGAAACCTAACCCGATTTCTGTGAATTCGCTATCGCGATGGATAGGGTTGCTTTCGTTGGAAATTCTCTATTTCTCTCCTACGTTTGATACAGCGGAGACAACATCTTTCCCTTTGATTATAAATCCTTTATCATACATGTTCATATAGTCAGCACTACGATAAGTTCAGTTGCATGCAAATGGACCTTATATTCATTTAAACTTTTGATAAAAGGTAAATACACTAGGTACACTTGTCTTAATTCTCTAACCGTGGGACGCAATAGGCAGAGTAAAGCATATAATGGTGTGATTATTTTAAGTCTCACACACATTCTGATATTTAGAACACACTTACCAGTTGTTTTTCAGGATCTTCAACAGTAGCAGCTAAACGGGCTGCCAAGTCCTCTGGGTTAAAAGACGGTCGCCCGACACTGTCTTCTGATTCATAGACGTACGGTGTTTTCGGTTCTTCGATTTTCATATGACCGTAAGTTTTGTCTGCAGGGTGATATGTGGCCAAAATGTTTGATTCATCCCACTGAAAACTTTTCTGACGCTGCTCAACTGACGACTTTTTTAGTATCCCTTTAGATGACTTTTCATCCATGAGTATAAATTTTCAGGTAACACTAAGTTTGTAACATATGCCTGAAAAGCACGTGGTAAGTATAATCAAACGCTTATATAATTAATTTATTTACCCATATTATATTTTTAAGTAAAATAATTATAATCATACTTCTTGAGTATTTACGGAGGCACAATTGAACATTGAATTTCAACTTAGGATAAGAACTTGGGTAGTGTGCAGAGTATTATTCCATTATGGACGAAATTTGTTCAATAAAATCTCACTTTTTATACAGTGTTACTTACCGATGCCATTTCGATCACAACTTATTACTCATAATAATCTCATGTTACACAACTTTCCGAGTTCGTTTATTTTCATAGACAACAAACTGATTAGATATATGAATGAATAAATGGGAAACCAATACATAGTTCAACCGAATGAGGGAAGACAAAGTACATTTTCCGACGGCATCACTGTCACCAATAAAATATTAAAAGTTAGAAAAAAAGACGAGCGTTGTCACTCAAAAAGATGAGTTTTATGATTGAAATAAAATAAGTATGATATCAGAATGTGACAGAGTGAATTAAAAAAGGAATAAAACTGAATTGAATATGTTAAAAATTGCAGATCAGGGCCAGATACAGTACTAATGAAGTGGTGAATCAGACGTTTCGAAACACTTTTCAGGTCATAAATAATCTGTCTTAAAGTTAGGTACTCAGTGTATTGTCTATGCACAAGACCTGAATTCTTCAGGATGCATCATGATTATGATATTTTGTGTTATGACATTTTCATCTTTCGTACGTTTTGCTATCTTTTAGGTTTTTTTCTCATGAATAATAATGTCTCGTAAGCGATTTGACGTGCCTGATTTTAGGCCCAGAGATCCTCATAATTGGTTTGCACGAGTTTCAGCCTGTTTCACAACCAATACGCTAACTTCACTTAACACCGGGTTTGATATTTTGAGTACTATTCTGCATAACGAAGCCTCAGAATTCGCACGCAAATATCGAGTAAATACTACCATAAAATCCAAGTATGATGAATCGGCCGAAAAAATTACGCTTTCCATATCACTGTTTGGAGGGTAACCATCAGACACCTTGCAAAGTAAGGTTGAATTACATGACAAAGCTCTTTATCAAATCATTAGACACATGTGAGGCTCCTTAGCAGACCAACAAATTGAAAAGTAACCCATTTATCAAATCTAGCTGATACGACTGCTGTGAAAAACTCAACAAATTCTCGCTTTTGGAAATGATGAGGTAAACATCGGTAAAATCGCCGAAATAGCTGACTACATCTATGAGAAGCCAACAATTGAGGCTCTTGCTAAAAAGGTATTCATGAGTAGATGCAAAAATAAAAACATGAAGTTGTTGTCCTACTGCGGAAGAAACCAATATCAACCACGCAGAGACAAACAATTCGTTCCGTAAGTTCATGTCATTGGCATCGTTCACGGATTTCTAGAATGTCAGCTAATCGCCGTAATACTTACTCGTACCATTATACTTATTTAACCAGCTTTCGATGTTGTCTTCTTTTCTGTAATATACTGAAAAGAGTGCAGAATATTTCGAAAAAAACCCAGGCGCCGGGGACTTGTGACGACTTATTTCGTCGGCAGTCAGCAGTCCAATAGCCTTTTGTTTTATGTAACACTTCGAAATAATGACGCAATTCCTGGCTGACTAAATCGCAGAAGTATTTTCCTCCATCTTCGCATAAGTCTTGAACTTGTCCCAGCAACAGCACTTCAAGCTGTTCATAAGTCCAGCATTGTTACGTCTGACCGCGAAAACATGAATACAATCTTAATCTGCAGACCACTTTCAGTTGGTGTTTCATTATTTATTTTTCGCAGCACCATGGATTGCTGGTAAACCTTATAAGTCACAACTTGACAGACCCATCTAACAAAGTGTACGCTGCTGGTGCAGTCAGTCGTGCAGTATCTCTCAGCCTAATGGTTGCATGCACAACGGAACTTCCGTATACAGAGTTTGTGAACCCGCTTCCTGGTCTTCTCCGTCTCACTTTACGAGAAGCGGGGTCATCAGATTAACGCTGTTGGGTTACTAGATTTTGCATGCCCTCATCATACTGATTCCACACTGCCTTGTGATTGTAAAGGAAAACTTCGAAAGAACTCTATAGCTTGACACCAAAAGGCCACCTAATATCTCTTGATTTTTATCAGTTCACACGATTCCCCAAAGCCTGGAGGGCCTGGAAAACACTACGCCTGCACCCTGTATTTGCACGGTATGCAGTGAAATAATTTTTGCTTATATGCGCGCCTGGCATAGATGGGCACCATGTTTCAGCACGCCAGGAGACTTATTTTTCTTAGTGTAGACACCTAATTGATTAAGGAAGGTGCATTAGCAACCGAGGCAGTTCCACAACAACTAGTCAGCAGACAGTGGCAACCGCGCATCTTTTTCTCAAGGCGCCTACAATCAGCAGAAACAAAGTACAGCACATTCGGTAGAGAACTATTGGCTATGTACTGTGCTGTACTTCATTCCCAGCGTTCAGTGGAGGGTCGTGAATTTGTCATTTTCACTGACCACAAACCACAAACGTACTCTCTGGACTGAACCTCACCTAGAGAACCAAGGCAACTGGACTACGTTTCACAGTTTACATCGGACATTCGCCATGTATCTGGAGTGAACAACACCTTGACGGATGCCTTGTCTCGCATTTGTTCCCTCAACCAGATGGATGGCATAGACATTGCGTCAGCCAACTCTCAGAAACTATCAATGTCAAGCTCTCACCACGCTGGACCTCACTCTGTCCCTCGAAGATTTTCAGAAAAGATTTGTAATTGCCAACGCGAAAAACCATAACACAGATTGGCGACCCGGGAATCCTTTATTCTTATGCCAATATGTAACCAACAATAAGGTTATAATAATAATAATAATGTATATTCTCATGTAAACGTATAAATTTACATGAAAATGCATGCCATTTTTACAGGCACGATCAAGTATGATAGAGTCTCAAATCTTAAACTGTCTACAAGTTAATAATGTTTCGACAGTTAAATATTTGATATATATATAAATACACATTGTCTGAACTAGGCTGTATAGTTATTGAATTGTACAATTTTCCTCCAGGTTGAGCGGGAAAATCGACTTCGTTTCGTTTTCATCCCGTGGTTGTAGGCACACGATAACCAACCAATATTGAGGTAAGTACAACGTTTACAAGGGATTGAAAGCTGTTTTTAGAAAAGTAAAAGTGCTAAGGTGAATCAATAAAGTGTAATGAAATGGGTAAGTGCAAGTATCACTAATAAATGCATTAATAAAGGAAACTCCCTAGGCTGACAACGTTCATTTGCAATGTATAATGCTTCCTGTACATTTTACACTATCATGATGTCCACTTTTGGTTTTAATACATTTTTCCTCATGCTGGTTTTTTTATTTTATGCCTTTTTGTGCATTTGGTCCATAACCGTACCCTACAGAGAATAGGGATAGAATAAGTCGAATCAAATTCATAAAAAGCTATAAAATGTTAGGTTTAATGGAATATAATGAGGACCAAGTAAAGACGTTATTAGAAAATAAATGAGATAAGACATTGTGAAGTGGTATTTAAAGATCCGACAATGGACAGCAAGTTAATTTATAAGATGCCCCATAAAACTGTGCAGAGCCCACATGGTCGCATCTCAACAATAGGCTGAGTGAATGGTATATATTTAAAGGTAAAAGCATGATCTGTTTAGGCGTTCACTATCATCTTTTTCAAGATAAAGATCTAAGCCCTCATAAAAATCGGAAATATCGCGAGCCTTCAAATTGTATATTGCTGTTCCTGCAGAATGGGGCAATTCACCTTAGTGACCTCCACCATATCTACTGATCAGCTAGCGCCACCCTCCCTCCTTTTTTGATGTTAGGCTCTGAGACTATGATTATTATGGCTACCGCAAATATATTGCTTGGTACCAGACATGTTCGTACCTCATATTCCATCTCCCTAGCTTTCTTAATGAGTGCTTCCAATAGGTCACCGCGTACATCTTTATGAACATTATATATGTATGCATGCGTCCTAATGAACAGATTACTTTACAAGAAGTTAGAACCTTAAAGAATAAAAAGAATAGGTTTTGTGAATAGTGAAGCAAGATTCAGCAGAACAATATAGTTAGGGATCAATATAGGTAGTATGAACTGAAGGTAGGGTCGGTTGGCAGGACTTAGTGTACTAAATTATCATGACAGTCTTATATTTAGTAAACATTTGACATTGCAAAGTAACCTGTATACATATATTATAAGAAGATATTAACAGAACCAACAAAATTTCAGCATTTGGTTAACAATACTACAGAAGGGTAGTTAGTACTACAGGTAGTCGTAAAGTAAATCAATCTATGTATAATAAGAGCATAATCAGTGTCATAATTCGTATTATCAAAGAATACATTAGGCTCAATAACTGAGTGTTATAAGGGAAATAAGAGCGGTAAACCAAGAGAACATTTGCCGCGTAAGTATTTTAATGACAATCTAATTTCAAGTATTGAACCTACATAATTACTAAGTATTATTATGTTAGTCTGGGAACTAGTGTACTTTCTGTAGTTAAATATTGAAATGCCATTGTCTCTCCACTCTACCAGCAGTTGAGATCTTTGAGGCGGGCTAGGGTGGACATGTTAATATGTTTTTCTAGGCTCCTTTTGAAACTGTCAGGCCTTTCACAGGATCTTATCTCAGAGGGTAGTTGGTTCCAAAGTTTGCAATATTTAATGGTGAAGAAGTTAGCTCTAGTGCTGAGTTTATGGGTGTTAACCTTGAGAAGGTAGTTGTGGTTGCGTAGTCCATACGATTTAGGATTAGCCCAGGTTATGGACGAGTTACTGTTACAGTGCTTTCTTATAACTTTGAATAAGAGAAATAAATTGCACTTCACTCTCCTTAACCATAAGGGCTCTAAGTCCAGTCGAATACATCTGTCAAGGTATTCTATTTGCTGACCATAGCCTAATATGCGTTTCGTAAGGAATCTTTGGACACTTTCAACTTTTTTTCTGTCTGCTGATTTAAAGCTACTGTATAAGTGGGCACAGTATTCAAGTTTGGGGCGAATGCATATCTTATATATGGCTAATCTGGCTTCTGGAGTGTAAAAGTTGCGTAGCACAAAGCCGGTTAGACGTTTACAATCAGATACCACCTTATTTGCATG